GATTTGAATTAAAATTTTATTAATTGTGGGACCCCAAGCAGATGGTAGCACCCTGACATGTTCTCTATTGAAATTAGGATTTTTTTTAATTTCAATAGCCTTGCAAATCATCCTTGGTAGAAGTCGCAGTTCTTTGGCGAGGGTTAATGTTTTATCAGACTTGATATAATTGTTGGGACGATACTGAACAGACCTCCCGGACCGTCGGTGCGTCACATCAGCGATATGTTCTTTTACGCGGGTTTTTATGGATCTTTCACCCAAAGAGGAGTAAAAAATCCACGTAAAAAAGGTAAAATTAAAAGCGATAAAATTCGTTAATTGCATTCTATTCCATGTGTAGTATTTGCGTAAATATAAGAAATCATTATAGAACTTCATTTAAGAAATTTTAGAGTCTACTCAAACGTAAAAATATTATCAACATTTATTTTATGATGCCAATCAATATTAAATGGGACCAATGATACGAATCAAGTATAGCAAATAAACATCATGCCGTAAATTTGACAATGAAATTCATCATTGTTTTGCAACTAATTTAACTATAGTCATAAAAGAACGTAAAGTGTAAAACATCTACATTTTACGCTTTACATTCTTTGATCGAAAGGTCAATTGTCTTAGAATCAAAATTTCAATATGATCAAAGAATGTAAAGCGTAAAATGTAGATGTTTTACACTTTACGTTCTTTTATGACTATAGTTAAATTAGTATAGAGACACAGACGCAGAGGTGATTCTGATAGTGATAGAATTTTGTTACTATATGGCACGGAACAACATTTATTAATGATGCTCCATTAAAGCCCATGTGAGCGAAGCCGTGGGTAAAAAGCTAGTCAAAATATAATAACTAACGTAACTTTAATATATACTGGTGTAACTGAGTAAAGTGCGGCGCTAACGCCACAGTTGAATGGTACGGCGTAATTAAATGCAGTATCGCCTTTAGTACGTAGTACATAATAGCTCAATGATCCGATCCGTATTCTTTGTGTTATGCATGCTGTGTGACACATACATCTTTCTTACAACAGGAGATACCTATGTCCAGCTGAGGACAGCAGTGGATCTTAACGACTGGTGAAGAAGAAGATACTCGTACATGTGGTGATGCGTACGTACTATAGTGTTGTCTCTTTAGTCTGGTGGTCGTAAGTGCAACTGCCAATCATGTCGTCCCGAGTTCCATTCTAGGTCAGGTTTAATTAATAATTGTCTTCAGAAAAGTTTAACTCTCCAAAAAGCCGTTTATCCAGCGCTGTGTCTCGCCGGTCGTATCAAATTGTGGTCCCAACGGACTATGAGCAAGAAAGAATATAAATAGATAGTGCATCTGTGCTTCCGCAGACAATAGTGCAAATAACTTACTAATCTTGAGTTTGGAGGATATTATTCGATATTATTATAAGTCGAAAATGCCTAGAAATGTTTACCTACTTGTTTAGTAAGGCGGCCTAAAACAAATGTTCTTTGGTAACGGAGTGGATGGGAGTAATGTTTTCTTTTATTAAAGAAGCCAATTATTTTTCATCATTTTGTACAAATTTTATTGCTTCATCTACTTGAAAGCGTCGGCTTCATCTAAACTACCAGAAATATGTTTTAACATTGTACCAATACCTTCACACCAAGCGCTACGCTTGGCTCGGTAATTACTGATTAACCTATTTTTTAATAACTATATTTTGTATATTAACATTTTTTTTTTCAGATGGCGAGACTACGCTTATTGGTTTTATTAACTTTCCAGACGCTAGTCATTTTCTAAGTTTTATTTTATTTTACAGGTTACTTCCGACTTCTGATGCAGGTTTCATCTGATCGAATAGATGCGTGACATGGCATCGATTGATTAGTAAGGTAAGTTTATTATTAGTATTTACCTACCTGTTCGCCAAGCGAGCGCGCGACATGTTATACTTCCGTTCACTCGGGACCTTAATGGCGGGAAAATTTGTAAGTTAGAAAATTTTTTGCTATATTGCAAATTTTGCTATATTTTCACTTTGAGACAATATTTATGGATAAAACTTACAGGAATTCTTGTTGAATGTATAAACTATCGAATAAAATTATTTTTGGTTGCTAGAAATTGTAATAAAATACGTAAATTACCCTGTATAGCATAGTAGTAGTATATACTTCAATTTTAGTGACAAAATTACTACTAATTTGAATTCTACACTTTTGTTTTTGGAGAAATTTATATGAAAATGTTTGGAAATATGTATATTTTTATGTTTTATGTGTTTCCATTCGTTACTCATACCAAAATATTAAAATATAAAAAAATTAAAAAAATATAATAATAATATTTTATCTGTATGACATTTCGAACAATATTTCAAACATATTTTTGTGTGAATTTGAAATAAATACAACGTCAAGTTATTTGAAATATGTAAGAAAACTATTTTTACTTACATTTTACACTAAAAATAAATGAGAATTTGAAAAATAGCACATTTATGACCCAACCGCCAAAATGGAGCTTCCGGATTTTGAAGTACTTTTGGCAATTTACTTTTCACTTTTTATACCACAAATTATATATCTACGTGTTTACTATATTACAAGGAATATAAAAAAGTATAACACTTTCGTTTTTAGTCCAGACACAAATATAAAATTCTATAAAAAAGACGGAGCACCTTCATCAAAACGACACGTGGAACGCCGAAAGTTCAGAGTGATTTCTTTTTTTTTTTCTAAGAAACATTGCCAGGTTATGGTTTAAAATAAAAGAGCATATCTTTGTCTTTGATACTATTATCTATTGCATAGTGTCTTTGGTTTTGTTTAAAACGAAAAAATAGTTTTTTCATAGGTACACACCTTTACATAATTCTGATCTAATTAGCGCACTACTTGGCGGACGGAAGGATGGTATTGTACGATCAAAAGTGCGCATGGCTTGGTTAACAGGAATATCCACTTTATAGGGAACTTTTTAGAGAGGGGAGAGCGCTTTCCGTAATCTCAAATTATTCTTTATGTAGACATTCTTACTGACTTTTTATTTAACTGTTTGAGTATGTGTGTCATAGTATGATTTTGAGAATTACTTAGACTTTCTTCTAAAATCTAAAGCCTTTTCGTTGGGATATTTCATCTGGTTTTGCAACATGGGGACATAATCAGGGTATGTAGCCCCTAGAGATTCATTATAAATAGAATTAGGAATAAATAGCTCACTCCCAAACATAAGCTTCTGAGGTGTGTAATGTGTAGTAGAATACGGATGTGCTTGGCAAGTACGGCGGTGTAAACATAACGAGGCCAGTTGTACTGTTCTTCATTAATGTAAGATTTCAGAGATCACGTATTCTTTTAGAGTTGAATGGCCCTGCCCTAAGGAGCCTTGGGCTTATGGATGGTATGGCGAAGACCATAAGTTTTATTTTATTTTAAGGTTTATTATATAAGGTTTTTCTAAATGCGTCTGAAGTAAAATTAGTCCCCTGGTCGGTAAGGATCATCTTAGGAATACCAAAGATTGATATATGATGCAGTAAGCTTTCAGCAGTATACATTAATTTTAATTCAAGTATCATGAAAGAGATAGCGTAGAATATTATATATTTCAATAAATGAATGTTTTTCGAATGGATTTTTCAGATCTGATTACCGAGTTCTTTAAATCCCTCAGAAGTTACCAATTCATTTCTGATTGTTTTTAACGTTTGAAAGATTTTGCTTGTCATTCATATCGTCCACTGTATTGCAGTCAACTAGGCACTGAAAGCGGTTCTGTAACTCGAGCTGAAAGAATTAGAGAACAAGGGGTATGGAGCGTTGAATTCATTAGACGAGACCTCTTCAACTTAAAGTTTAGGTTCAGTGTGCTTCTTACCATTTTGAGATCTGCCAGTTTACACCCTCACGATCACTGAGACATCACTAAACAGTTGGCGTCTGGTCGTCATAATGAAATCAATCTCATTTTTTGTCTATGCGTCGGGGCTCGACCAGGCCCAGTTCCTGTGGGGCCGCTTCTGGAAGAAAGAGTTCGTCATAAAGAGTCCCTTTTTTCCATGATGTCGGCCAGCTGCTGGCCCCTTGGGTTCCGTTGCCCTTTTCCAAATTTCTCTAACTTCAGCTCGCCGCTTTCTCTCGTGACTAGTTTTGCGTTAAAGTCTCCCATCAACACCGTATAGTGGGTTTCGGAGGAATGCATGGCTCTAGAGATATCCTCATACATTTCCTCCACCTCCTCATCGAGATGTGCCGTGGTTGGTGCGTAAACCTTTATGACCTTCACCGAATACCGTTTGGTGATTCTGAGAATCAGGTATGCAACCCTCGTCGACACACTCTCAATCTTTCCAATGTTGTTGACGAGAGATTTGTGGACGATAAATCAACACCTCCTTGGGACAGATGGTCCTTCCCGTGATAGAACAAGTTGCCGGACTCGAGGATTACCGTGTCCTACCCCTCTCTTCGAACCTCGTATAATCCTATAATATGCCAGCGCAACTTGTCTACCTCTTCTTCCAGCTCCAGTATCTCCTCGTCAGTCCTCAGGGTGCGTGCGTTATATGTTGCCAGGTCGAGTCGTCGTAGGTGGCAACCAAACCTCCACCGGAACTTCTTAGCACCCCCTGCCCCGCCGTTACCATGGTCACCACTGCAGCCAGGAATAGCGGGGCCACCAGGGACTGGGAGTCGTTTGTTTGTGTAGTTAGTCATGAGAGGATGTTTGCCATAGTTGCCATGCTTAGCGAGCGGGTCGGCAACCGCAGTTTTTATTGTGTATTTGTTGTTATCAGGAAGATGCTGCTGCCCATCTCATGCCTGTCATCCTCTGTCGCCTCTTACGACACATGACAAGGAAGACATGGGGTAGTGGATATTCTCAACCGCCACTACACCGCGCATGGTAAGAATAATGTAATGGTAAGAATTTCACACAATTTCACTAACCACAATGGAGAATTCTTAACAGTAGGAGATTAATAAAACATTGGAATTACAATTTTTTTAATTCATTTCATATCACGATTTCTCTTTTTACAAATTTTATATAAACCGGTCCTGAGTTTCTCAAAATTAAATCTGCCTGGAATTTTAGATCCGAACAACTGGTGACGGGAAGTAACCTGAAATTCCGTAAGATTTCTGATACAACTAATTTCATCTGCATCATTGCAAATTTTTGACCTGAAAAGTAAATAAGATCCATTACATAATCTAATACACCAATATGTAATAAAGAGCCGTCAGCAGGAAATAGAGAGCGCTACGATAGGTAAAATATATATGTATTATATTGCTTTGCGAATAGCGTTTATTCGTAGTATTATAGTAAATATTGCTTAAATATTGCAAAATCAGCATTACTATACAGCATACTTATAATGTGTAATGCTGTTGTATGTATGTATTATTAAGTAATTATTTTTTTTAGAGTAAGATAAGAATACTAAGTAATACTGTGCTTATACTCCCTAAAGTTTGCAAATACGTGTACTAGGAGTAATTCACGAATGGCGAATCCAAACATGACATGACATTAGCGTTTCGCGGTCCGTTTCTTTAACCATTTAGTTAGACTGTGCCGTATTATTGTTTGTACAATATGTTATTACATTATGTGCTCTACAAGTAGGCAACCGCTAGTCATTGGTGCAGTTCTAATCGGTACAATTTGCCGTGTTATTATCGACAGGCGGATTAGTGAGCAGCAACTCATACACGCGCACACACACAAATATAAGCTGGTTTGGGTATTTTAGATCTGGGTATCTCTTAGGTGTATCACAGTCTTCAAATAGCGGCTATTAGTTTTTGCTTACCGCAATTTCATAGTGACAAAAGTAATTTCCTTAAGTATTTTACTGCACAATAACTTATACATAATATACACATTTTTATAGGATAGGGTGACAAACGAGTACACAGTCCACCTGATGGTAAGTGGTTACGGTGGCCCAGACATCTATCCTTGATTACGAATCAAAATGCAAATGCGTTGTCACCCGTAAGGTTTAGATGGAATGCCTCGTTTCCAGTAAAAAGGGTCTCCGGTTCTCTACACTCACCATACGTAACACAGAAGCATTAAGCTACTATTTGACGCTGGTATTCTGTGGGAGCGTGATCCTTCCCCGGCCGAGCCAACCCATTCGTGCTACAACTATACTATGTACTAATATAACTGCAGCATGGCTCTACCATGTAAAATTTTTTGTTTTTATACAATAAAATGTGGCTCATGTAGTAGCGGCGTAAAAGAGTTCACCACCTCATGTCATCCTGTGGCCTGTGGGTGTCGTAAGAGGTCACAAAGACAAATGGAACAGGATATGAGGAGCAGCATATTCCTAATAACATCTCAAAGTAAAAAAAATAGCTGTGAAATAATAAACAAATGTGCCTACCGATACAATTCCTTGGTCCTGCGCTAAAAGGTATGTAAGCGTAACTGTGACGCTTACCCATATTTTCTGGTAAAAATCTATCTGGGTCAAACACAGAAGGATTTGGGAATAATTTTTCGCTGCGATGTAGATCGTAAATATGAATGTGACAATAAGTTCCCGCTGGGACTGTGTAATTACCTGGAATGTAAATGTATATAGTGTTGCGCGCCATAGTTGATGCCTGGTACATGGCACTAGCGTCATCTAGTATCGAATAGCAGAACTAAGCGTTCTAGAAAACTCTGTCCTAGAAATTTCAACACCTAGTTGGTTGGGACCGGTACGTGCTTAAACATTTTAGACGTTCCAGTGGAAAAAGGCTTGTATAAGGCCAGTAAAGACCGCGACTGAGTCAGTATTGAATTGGCAAAACAAGCGAATACTTCGAAGCGATATAATTGCGAACTAAGTGTTAAGTGTGATTAATTATTAGTGTTTTTTAAGTTGTAATTGGTGTTCGATAACTAAAGTGTCAGTTTTGGTAATTCAATCAGCAGTTTTTACTGTCACGAACCCTAAGCTCGTAACAATATGTATATATTAATAAGTGAATTAAAATCTTCGCAAAAAGTGCCCGTAAAACCTTCATAAAGGGTATGTTCCGAAATACAACGCAGTGTACTGTCCAATGCCAATGACGTCATGAATCGACGCTATACTGGTGATTCGTTCCAAAACATTGGACAGTTCTTTGATTATATACCTGTCCTGACAGGTATATAATCAAAGGGACAGTTTATGACGTCATACTTTTGCGCCATTTGGAAAAGTGTAGGCGATTATTTTGTAATTTTGTGCTCCAATAATCATTATGTCCTCCTAATGGATATACCATCAATTATTCTATAATTTTTTGTGTTTGAATAAACAGAAACAAATTCTGGCATGCTTCATTCGGCAAACACACAATTAAAAATTGTTTTATTATGGCCGGATATCCGACACAATATGGCGGCGGCACGCTAGTACAATAAAGTGTCAAATGATGACGTCATTTGCATTGGACAGTACACTGCGTTGTATTTCGGAACATACCCAAAAATTTATCGCCCAAATAGGTATTTTATGAAGAGACACAACTTCTGGTCTATATTATATTATTGTATTAATGTTGTTTTCTTAAACTTATAAATGGGTTCCTCTTGAGGTGCTTAATATAAAATGAGAATGAATTTATTACAGGCATCTTTTAGTAAATGATATTTTATTTTTCCACATAATCTCCTTTCAATGCAGAAAAAAAATTCAAGTACCTATAACTTGGTATATATTTTCTCCAGGTTTAAAATTACCTTCCTAAAAATTCTTCCAAGATTTAATTAAAAATACAATTTCCAAGGACATGATTCCCGATACAATAAAAAATTTACTATTTAAAAGATGTTACAATGCGTAGACATTTGACATTATAAGTCCATTTTTACATTACACTTTATAATATTAAACTATAGTTATAGTTTAATGTTATAAAGTTGGAAAAAAAATAATTATCGGTTTCTTGAATCAAATTGACTTTGATTATTATAGCTGTTATAGCATTAGTACGTTAGGTGCACAATAGATAAACCCAAAAAATACTATTGCCTTTGCGATGTGATGCTTAGCGCATTCTGACCTACACGGATTCAAATCGAATCAACAATAATCAATCATATCGAAATTTAAATGTATGATACTTACTTAATTGAACTTCTTCATTTATATGACGACTAATGAAGGGTACGGGAGGATATAGACGAAGAGATTCCTTGATACAACGATCTAAATAGCGCATTGCATTTAGGTCTTCCATTCTTGTGGCATGCTTTGTCTTACCGAAGATTTCTTTAAGCTCTATTACTATCCTTTCCTACAAGAATAACAATTAAAATGTTATTTGTATAATCTAATTTTCAATACTATATTTTCTCAATATATCTTAATCGTCGGTTATTGTTAATATACAGTTTATTTGACATCATTATGATAATTATAGGCAAATAGCAAAATAGATATCTCTATCACTATGGTTACTGCAATGAAACGATGGTATAATAGATAAACAGGGGCAACTTTTTGCAATCACAGTTTAAGACGCTACCCTGACCAAAACCTGGCAAAAGTGCGTTTTTCAGACTCTATTATCTCATTAGTTATGAAAAATAAACTACATCTAAAAGTACATTATTAATGTTCGATATCTTATCATCGCATTCCACGTTCTAATTTATTTTTATGTGCTATAAATACATTTAAAATCAACTTTTAAAAAATGACTAAAATTCTTGATTACATGCATCTGTTGCTAAACGCAACGCTCTAATCATTTGAGGATAACACTAATGGATAGATAATGAAAAAATCTATATTCTCCACGTTTTATTTAAATTTTTAAGTTCGTTTTTTCTCTTTTAATTGAAATAATTCCGAAAATTGTGTGACTTCTATGATAAAGGGGCGTGCGCAGAGTGCGGGCGGCATTACGCTGTATGCGTTCATACGGGGTAGCCGCGTCGCTGGTCGCCGCGTTTTGTATTTCGCCGCAAACATAATATTATTTGAGTACCTACCAACCGATGCGCTTACGTCACGGTATATTGTAACTCGGCCGTATCTTAGAAATAAATATTACAGGCGTGCGGTACGTAAACATGCGATAGGGCTGCTGCTTCCAGTATTTTTACATTTGCCCATTGATTTATGTGTTTTATAACTCAATGCATTTTCCTACTTTGTGTTTCCATTTAGTTTTATGATTGTACTTAAATATACTTTTTTTATATAAACAAATATAATAGGTACTTTGTGAATTGAATAGGAAGTGTTCAATAAAAATGCGTGTCGTTTTATGATTGGTAGATTTAATTAAAAAACCATGTTTATGTTTGAATAACAAATCGGTCTTATAAATTTGCGGCCGAAAAATATTTGTGCCTCGGCTGAGACGTACGAAATGCTTTATTATTAAAATTTTAAATATAAAAAAATCCGCATTATAATATAAAGCTTAATTAAAAATTGTTTTGGGAAACATGGACAAGTTGGAGTAAAGGAATATCTTTTACTTGGTTATAGATACCTGCAGCTATTTTACAATTTATATGTTTGGTTTTAAATGAAGTTTGGATTTATTATTTTTTATTTCTATTCTATTTTCTGAAAGGGTCCTAGGAAAGGAATTATCCACCGCGCTGCCCCACTGCGTGTTGGCGAACTTTGCATGTCTTCGAAATATTATTTTTCTTATTTCTCAGACATGCAGGTTTCCTCACAATGTTTTCCTTCACCACTGAGCACGTGGTAAATCAACACTTAAAATTGCAATTACAATATTATTGGTGCCGGCGGGGATCGAACCCGGTTTGCTCGCACACTGTGAAAATTTTAGCAAGCGCTAACCATCTGAGCTACCACGGCTCCTCTCCTCCCGAGCTAGAGACTTTATTTTATTTATCGTCAGGCCTGTTGGTCTAGTGGTTAGTGACCCTGACTGCTATGCCGTAGGTCGTGGGTTCGATTCCCACCCAGGACAAATGTTTGTGTGATGATTTATCTATAATATTTATGTATTTAGAAATATATAAGTATGTTTATCAGTTGTCTATATACATAAATACAAAAAATAAAATAAATACAAAAAATATACAAATAAATAAAGATCCAACCATATTAAATAAAAAATAGTCTCCTATCTTTCTCTCTATGTTTTGATCTCCTAAAACGAGTTTGAGTTGGTAAAATCAAGGCAAACTTAGGGTAAGGTTTGGAAATTCCGCGGTTTTATATGCGCAAGCGTGAACGTAGTTAGAACATAATATAACCTTTATATTTTACATAAATATCCTAAAAAACTTATTATTTTAATATTTTACTAAGTACCTATAAAATTAACAAGTTTATTGCATTTTTATTTGAGTAATTTTTTATGCAATTTCTTTATCTACGTCTATTTTTAGGAACCTTTATTTAGTCTGAATCATACATAACACTATATTACTGATTTACTTACTTATACGTAGTTTTTTTTTGCAGTTACAAATATCTTGTGAGGTTGAAAAAGGTAGTAATGAAAAAATAATAAGAATAATAATAATTGACGTCAACAACCACTTTTCAGATCATGGTCCATTAGGTTGCAGCTTCACCGAACCACAACTTATAATAATAATAATAACAATAATAATATAATATTATTTTGTATTTATTTTATTTTATTGATATTAATGTATATTTATCTTTTCATTTTAATTTATAATTTTTATATATTTAAATATATATATATAACCGAACCAGATGAGAAAATTATACGGCTCCAACGATTTTAGCGACGAACGCTTGGATTTATTTTTAGAAAATGTCCTTTTGTCTATGTTTTCAGGCAATAAAAAACTGCTACAATATAAGAAGGTAAATTTCGACTAATCGTTAACGGTCGTTATAGCTCAGGTGGTATGTCGGTCGGGCGTGATATCGGAGTTCCGTGGTTCGCGTCTTGGCTTTGGTCCCGCTTTTTTTTCAAGTTCCCTTCTTTTGTGAGAAAATCTATTATTTCAAACCCTTTTTTTTAGTAATTTTTTAAAATACGAAAATTTTAATTTTAAAAATTAAAAAAAAATATCTATTTAGTTACTAATGCTATATTTATTATTTTAATAATCACCTACCCAGTAGGTAAATATTAAAATAATAAATGTAGCATTATAAACAGTAAATCTCCCTCAAACTCAATTTACTAATATTGCTCCTAAATAAGGAATAGCAAATAAAAGATTAGTAGGTAATAACTATTGCTCCTCAAAATTATATTTGACCTCAAGGTAAAACATATCCTAAAAATTCAGTAGCTAAATAAAATAATAATAACTACTATTCAAGTATATTTTCAATATGTAAGTAAATGAAAATAACAAAAATGAAGCACCATTAGCATGTAAAGTTCGAATCCATAATTAATATTTCGACAAATATTATAATTTACACCATAAAAAGCTAATTCAATATTAGCAGTATAGTATATAGTTAAAAATAATCAAAATAGTCATTTTTATTAATTAGATAATATATTAGAATACATAATTCTAATATAATGCAACTAATATACCGAATAAAGAAAATTAAAATACATTTATCATTGTACGCCATGTCTATTTCCATAGAAGAGTTCATTGACATTGAAAAAATAATACTACGTTCGTAGCAGTAGGTGGCGTCTTTTGGCCATTTCTTACGCGATATATTGTAGCGAGCGTCGACAGACCAAATGCTCAAGGTCGTTCGCTGGAGGTAGCGCCTTAAGTAATAATAAATTATTGTTTAACAAAATAAAATTTGTAAAACGTATGCGTTAGAAATTTTTATTCAAAAGAGTACGAAAAATAAGTGTGTATAAAATAAAATATCATGGATATTTGTGAAAATTAGGTTTATTAATTCGAATTTTGCTTAGTTTTCTTTATTTAAAAAAACGAAATTGGTTTGCAATTACAATTCTTAGCAAAACAAAAATTATTTTTATTTGAAATGGCCAGCACGGCAAAAAAGCAATTTCATAATTTAAGACCTATTTAAGACCTATTATAATATATATAATTAATAGGTAATCATAACCCATAGTTGTCTCTAAAAAAAACTGCGGTTGACAACCCGCTCGCCAAGAGTGGCAATTATGACAATATAGCTCCCATGAAGAGAGTTACGAAGAGACAGCCCCCGTCCTCGGCAGCCCCGCTATTCCCTACTACGGTGGCAACCATAGTAACGGCGGGTTAGGGGATGCGAAGAAACTTCGGTGGAGGTTCACCTAAGACGACTCGAGCTGGCAACGTACAACGCATGCACCCTGAGGACTGACGAGAAGATACTGGAGCCGGAAAAAGAGATAGACAAATTGCGCTGGAATATTATAAAAATATCCGAAGTCCGAAGAGAGGGTGAAGACACGGTGATCCTCGAATCCCACAGCTTGTTCTATCACCGAGAGGACAAACATTTGTCCCAAGCAGGTGTCGTGTTTAACGTTCACAAGCCTCTCATTAACAACGTTGTAAAGATTGGATGTGTATCGACGAAGGTTGCGTACCTTATAATCAGAATCACCAAACCGTATTCACTGAAGGTCATACAGATTTACACACCGACCTTAGCATATCCCAATGAGGAGGAAATGGAAATGTATGAAGATATCTCTAGAGTCATGCATTCCTCCAAAACCCACTATACGGTGTTAATGGGAGACTTCAACGCAAAACTGGGCACAAGAGAGAACAGTGAGCTGAAGGTAGGGAAATTTGGGATAGGGTAACGGAACCCAAGCGGCTGACTGACTTCATGGATAAAGAGGGACTCTTTATTATGAACTGTTTCTTTCAGAAGTGGCCCCACAGTGGACCTGAAAAATGAGATTGACTTCATTACGACAACTAGACGGCAACTGTTCAGTCATGTCTCAGTGGTCGCAAGGTTGAAAACTAGCAGCGATCACCGAAGGTTAGAAGCACACTGAACCTAAACTTTAAGTTGAAGAGTTCTCATCTAGTGAAGTCAACGCTCCGTCCCCCCTCGTGCTCTAATCTAGAGTCCCGAAACCTTTCAGCTCAAGTCAGAAAACCGTTTTCAATGCTAGAAGACCGATATGCAGTAGACGATATGAATAACAAGCTCGTGGGAACTATCCATGCGGTCGGAGCTAAGTTCTGCAATACCCGCCGCAGAAGAACACAAAAACTCAGCGATCATACTCTTAATCTCATGGCTGTTAGACGGGAAATTAAGCTGCAGTCATTCAATAGATTTGACAGCATAAAGGTAACTGAACAGACAGATCTCCAAATGATCTATGCAGCGGGACTTGCCGAACTTTAAACTGCTCGTATGGAAGAAGCGACACGTTCTTCAAGAAAGGCGATAACACTCTCTTGAAGAGCAACAGACCGATTTCGCTTCTGAGCCGCGTTTACGTGCTGCTTTCGGGAGTCATTAAAAATCGTCTCCCATGCAAACTCGATAACTTCCAGCCTCCGGAACAAGCCGGTTTCCAAAAAGGCTTTAGTATCATAGACCACATACACATCCTTCGACAAATTGTATAGAGTACCGAAGAGTACAATCAGCCACTTTGCCTTGTATTTGTGGATTATGAGAAAACCTTCAATTCCGTCGAATTTTGGACAGTGCTACCAGTCCCTGCTGCGGTGCCAAATTGACTATTGGTATATCAAAGTGCTGATATGTTTGTACAGTAGGGCTACGATGGCTATCCGGGTACAGAATCATAGTACAATACTTATCCAACTGCAGAGAGGTGTTAAAAAGGGTGACGTTATATCGCCGAAACTGTCCACCGCTGCATTGTAAGACGTTTTCAAGCTACTGAACTGGAAATGATAAGTTATTAACATCAATGGCGAGTACATCACTCACCTTCAATTTGTCGACGATATAGTTATGGCAAAATCGCTTAAGGTCCTAAGCACTATGCTCAGTGACTTCAATAGTGTTTCCCAACGGATAGTCTTAAGATCAACATGGACCAAAACAAAGATCATGTGTAATGTTCATGATACACCTATGCCGGGGTCAATCGACGGATTCAACTCGGCTGGGCAGCGTTCGAGAAACCACGACATATCTTCTCGTAAGGTATATTTCAAAAACTGAAAACGAAATTATACAACCAGTGCGTGTTTCCAGTGATAACTTATGAATTTGAGACGTATTCCTTCACTGCTGGTCATATAAGGACACTAGAGGGCGCTCAGCGAGCTAATAATCTTAGAAATAAGGGTATCCGCAGTAGAAGTAGAGTGACCGACATAGCCCAACGGATTAGTAAGCTGAAGTGGCAATGAGCAGGCCATATTGCTCAAAGAACCGACAGTCGATGGGGAAAAAAGGTTCTCGAGTGGCAGTGACAGTATACTGGTAGGCGAAGTGTAGAGTAACCCCCCACTAGATGGAGTGACGACCTGGTAAAACATGCAGGAAGTCGATGGATGCAGAGGGCTCGGAATTGTGCTTTGGGGCATTCCTTGGGGGAGGTCTATATTCAGTAATGGACTTGTGAAGGGCTGCAATGATGATATTTGCCTCTTACCTATCCACGTAAATGGGTAGGCCCTACGGGACGGAAAGGGTTAATGGAGTTTCTTAAGCCAGCACCTGTTTTAATTACCTCTGTAAATGCGATAATTCTAGAAATAAAATAATAATGACTTTCTTACCTGTATTTCTGAATAGTTGGCAAGCAACATCAGGCAGAAGATCAGTCCTGATGCAGTAGTATCATGACCCTGATAGAAAAAGAAAAAAATATTTTTTTATAAAACAAGGGTGTCAAACGAGCACACATTGTAACTGTTGGTAAGCGGATGCTATGGCCCAAAGATCACAATTCTCGGCTCAGAATCAAAATGCAGATGCGTTATCACCCCTGAGTATTAATACGGAATACCTCGTCCAACAAAAGGGTTTCCCGTTGTCTACGCTCACCATACGAAACACGTCAGCATTAAACTGCTATTTTGACGAGTTTGCTAGGCGTACAGAGCAGTCTTGTTTTCCAATTTTTAAATAAATTCAATTACGCTCAACAATCTAATTTAATACCTAATTACTTAAGGTTAAGTTATAAAGTTAATTAAGTTACCAGTGCATCGGTTAAGCGATAAAGTGGTGATATTTACTTCTACCTCGGCGCATAGGCAAGGTAACTGCTCTTCACCCCCTCGGGGAAAAGAGACGAATTATATTTATTGACCTTTTTCTCCGTAGCGATCGCTGAGCTTAAGCGTGATATACTACGTTAGTACGAGTACTCTTATTAGTTTGTGGAGATATACGCTGTGCCACAGATATATGATGAACGTACTAAACTCTCATACTGGAAGTGGCCTAAATGGAGAACCAAATTTGTCCACAACACCTGAGTCTACAGACAAATCAAAGGTTACCAAGCACAATAAGAGAAAGCGTTTAGATGATTGCGAAGATATCAAGGAAGAATTAAGTGAGATTCGTAAACAAATGTCAGCAAGAATTTAACAATAAAATGAATGATGATGTTGAGACTCTATTGTATCTGAAATTACGGGACGAAATTTTAGACGCGAAAACATAATCATAGATGGACTACCGGAACCCGTAACAGACATAAAACAAGTGACTAAAATAGTAAGGACGATAGGTAAGAGCTTCCAGCCCAAAGTAGCCTACCATCTTGGAAGATATAGCCCCGGCAAAAATCATCCTATAAAAGTATGTTTTTCATCTTCAGAGACAGCTTTAATTATGTTACGCAATAGAAGAAATTAGAATTTAGGCAATCTCAAAATATACACAGATCACACCCTTTTAGAGCAAAAATACTATAAAGATTTTAAAGAAGAAGTAAAGCGCCAACCGAATAATAATAAAAACTTAAGTATAAAATATGTTAGAGGTGTGCCGAGGATCGTAGAATCTTCGTCAAAAAACTGAAACCACATGACATCACTCACCTCCAAACACCTTCGTGCAACGTAGACCCAATTACCTATGAATTTTTTGATAGCTACAAAGATATTTCTTCTACCAAAAATTCTCTACGATTTTTATATGCCGACGTAAGAAGTATAGTGAGATCAGGAAAATTGGATGAATTAAAACAGTTGAGTCGTTTCGTGTGCCTGGAGGACCCTCGTCTTACCCTTTGTGTTAGCCATTTATGGGCGTGGGGGGGGGGGCAGGGGTCTTTTTCGCCTGTTGAGGACGAAGACGTCCTTTACCGGCACTCTTGACCCCAGACTTACCTTTCGTTGTACCGCTCCTACCTCCTTCCCCACCTGCTGGATGACACCAGCGGAGGCCGTCGCCTGAGGCGAGATCAGCACCTTGGGTCTTCGTCACTCTCACTGATGGCGTTCCAGTCTCACCTCGAGAGGTGGAGGGCTGGGGGAATCGGAGTTGGGGCGGTTCAGGCTCCATTGCCACGTCAGAACCTCCCCTGACTTTAAAAGTTATCATTTTAAAGCCAAGGACGACTCTCCCGCCTGCCTTCCGAAGAGCCCCCACCGATGGGTCGTCTAGAGAAAAGGTTACTAGGAACCCATTCTCCTCGTACCTACGTTGGAGGATTCTCCAGAGCTCGGTATGGAGCCCTTCATTTTGTGCCCTCAACAGCACAGCCGCCTCCTCCGGAGAGTCAGCTTCGCTGCGGGGCAAATACGTAATGCCCAGCTGAGGCTTAGGCAATTCGCTCTCGGGTAATATCGAGAGCTTTGCCATATCTATCGGTCAGGGTTTCAGTTTTCCGATCTCACCCACAATCCAGTGCTGGCTTACCTTATTCAGGCACGTTACCAGAATCCAACCTGGCTTGTGAGTGAAACCCGAAAATTTTGGTCCCATTCCCGGCTGCGCCCCACAGGCTGTCTTAGCGATGGCCCGTGTTAGTGCCCGGTGGACCAGCCGCATCTGGTCCACACTCATGAGATTCGAAATGCGAATTCCCACATGCTCGGAGCCAGCTACGGCACTGAAGCTGAGCTTCTTCTACCCGTTCACAGACTTCCTGGGCTGGTCTTTGAGGGACGCTTCATCAGACTGACTGCGTTTTTTCGCCTTTGGAACAGGGGGGAGGTTTGGGCAGAGGAATTTCGTCCCAGGGCTTCTGGCAGAGAGAGAGTGCCTCTTCGGCTCCTATCTCAGCTGCTATCAGCCGTCAGTACCGCTTCCTTGCTGCCCCACTAAGCTTACCAGGCCTAGCGAACTTTTTCTTTTCCCCTCCCTGGTTCATTTCCGATTGTGGTTCGGTTGTAGACGTGCCCACCACTTCACGGCTCGTCCCAGGTTGAGGCGTAGTGTTGCAGGATATTGATGAGGCTAAAAGAGCCTCTTACAAACCTACAGATAGTTTCATTAGAGGAGATTTTTCGGTAATCTTTTCAAAATGTCGATTTTCGTCCATTTTGGTCTCACGATTAGCTAGGGAAATATTCGGTCACTCCCGGCAGAGCCCTGCATGCCGAGGGAAGGGCTAAAATACTATCCGAATCGCCCTGGTTTCGAGTAGGCACCACGACTGGACTCCCTCCAGCCACGCATCTATCGGCACACCTTGGATTGGGCTAGGATGGGAAATAGGGGGTGGGATAAAAGATAAGAGGATCGTCTGAGTGTTTCAGTTCTGTTTGTTTCCTATTGAAACAGACCAAATAACAAGCGGTTACCATGTGAAGGAAGAACTCCTCAGACTTGCCGTGGGGATCAACACGACCTGCGCTCTCCCCCAGAGCCATTCGCCAAACTGCTCGCCGGACTGGAGAGCAGAATAGGTGTTAATCTAGTCCTACTGATAATGTCAAAAAGTTAGGAGTAGACTAACCCCCGCCCGTAGTAGTGTAGTTAGTTTTTTTTAACTTCATTTTTGAGGAGTTCCCGATTATTTCCAAAGCTTGTGTCTTTATCGTCCTCCTAGGTTCTAGGGTGGTAACGCTTAAGGTTTATTATTTTATTACCTCTAACATAAACGTATCAACTTCTTCTTGGATGCCGGCGTTATCAATCAAACCTTCTTTTTCCGCCAATATTAGTAAATCAAGCATTGCCGTTCTTTTCTTTTTACCATACACCATTTCAGATTCATCATTGTCCTTATCGCCCATTGCATTAACTAAATTTATTCCATTTTCTGTTATAAACTTCTTCCTGTCGTTTATAACCTTACGAGTAAAATTGTGCACAACGGAAAGAGATTTCTTTTGCTTTTTACCTAATGAAGATACGTTAAACAAGAAATCTGCATACAAATGAATTCTAATGAGTCTATAGATTAAAAAGTGGCCCAACTCATAAACTGCGTTTTTATATTGTTTACCATCGGATTCATCGCTCAGACTAGTACCCATAGCAGACTCTGAAAAAAAAAGATTTTCGTAATATGAGTATACGCTTCGCTTCACTTTTAATAGTAAATAAAGAAGAAAGTATCACATCACAAAATAACAATATAAAATGATCTATTATCTTTTATCAGATATCTAGATTCCGAATGACTGTATACTCGTATAATTGCCTGCACTACACGTTAAACTGTTTGAACTACAGAACTACTTAGCATAACGAAGCTCAGAGTACTACCCTCATTTCTTTTCATCTTTTATTTAATTTACATTGAACGTAAATAAATCTATTTCCTCTTCTTATTTCTTATAGCAAGTCTATAAAATAAGTTTAAAAATAAGTTAAAAAATAAGTTTAAAGTGATGATATTCATATCATCACGTTAAGCTTATTATATTATATACAAGCTTAAATTTTTAATTTATTAATTTTAATTTTATTCTATAATAGAAACTACAACTAACAATAAAATTAGTTGAAAATAAAACTTGCCAAGACACAAATTTATTTAAGTCAAATGTTATAGAACGTTGTATTGTGTTGCAGAATATAGCAATGGTCTAACGAACTTAGGTATATATCGTTCAGGAAGTTCCACCTGAACTCTTTTATCTTTCAACCTCAACTCTTTTATCGGCGAAGCCGACTACCCTGAACTCTGTTTGTTTGTACATTTTTCACATTTATGTTTTGTTGGGATATCATTACATTTTGAAAATTATCTTTTATTAATGAAATAAATAAACCTTCAACAGTTTTTCTTATGACACCGAATAAATAAAATAAATTCTTATAACACCACACCAGCGATGGACAGCATCGTCACACGAGCCAAACGTTATTTATGGCGTATAACATAAGACCTAAAAACCAAGAATTTTTGTTTTGCGAAAACATTTTTAATTATTACATATACCCCTTATAAGCAGTAAAGGCAGACATCGTGAAGAAACCGCAAATGTGATGTTGGCCAAAATTCATTTGGTAGCGCGGTGTACTAATCTAAGAAATTAATCTGTGTCCAGCAATAGGAGCGGTATTCGTATCTGCAATGTTACAAAAATTTAGATTTTTGCTTAATTTAGATTAAGAATAAAGATTTAGCACGATTTGGTACGATTTATTACGTGGTATCTAAAGCTCGTGCCAAATCGATTGAGAAAAACGGACGATGACCTCAGATATGAGCCGAGTGTCAAAAGGCGTAACTTACAAAACCTCAATTTAGATGTGATAACAATATTTAAATATTGATATTATTCACACTTCTAGGTCAACATATGATTTTTTTTTGTTTCTTAAATAATATTGTCTGTAGTTCCTATAAACATACGTAAAATCTTACGGTACATCGCGAAAAATGTGTTATATTTTATATTTCAATTTATGGTAAATAACGCAGCAATTCATTTAATAACAGTTTCACAGACAAAGGGCAGTGTATACCATATTTATTATGTGTTTATCAGCCACTTGCCTTAAAGTTTTAAAAATGTATATGAGTTTTCTGATACGACCAGTAAGTTGTGCAACATGAGTACTCCAATTTAGGTTACTGTCAATGTGGACACCCAAATATTTAATGTTATCTACTCTCTCTATTGATTTACACGAGCATGCATGTGACCGATTTTTGGAACTGCATGTGTCTATTTTAATTTCATAGGCGTTTAACCCAGGTTGTGTATTTTTTTTAATGAAAAAGTTATAAATTTAGTTTTGATATTGATATTGGCCTGTAGTTATTTACAATATCCCGTTTACCTCCCTTATATACTGGATGAACTAGTGCCCTCTTAAGAAGGTCAGGGAATTTGCCCGTTTGAATTGACAGGTTACATATATAGGTCATAAGGAAGGACTTGTAAAAGTACTTTTACAAGCCTTAATGATCGATGTAGGAATACCATCACATCCTGTAGCGCTATCAGAACGAAGTCTATTAATAATTCTGTCAACTTCATCATATTGTACTTCGTGCAAAACAAAAGAAAAAGGAAAGAAGGAGTTCTGATCTTCTGAAAGGAGATAAGAAGGACTACTATTAATAATTTCATCAGCTAGGTTTTTGCCAATATTAACAAAAAATTTGTTGATATAGTTCACTGATGCAGATACATCAGAAGATATTTTTAAAAGATCACTTGAAGAATTTACATTTTTTTTAATATTGCATCTATTTTTTACAGTTTCCCAAGTTCTTTTCGAATCATTTTTATTTTTAAGTAGCTCGTTTTTTTCATAGGTCCGTTTTAGATTTCTCAAAAGTTTATTACAGAAGTTTCTATATCTTTTATATGTAAGTTTAAGAGTCAAATCATTTGGATACTTCTTGCATTTTGCATGCATTCGATCGCGATTTCTGATACATTTCAGTAGTCCTGGCGTGATCCATGGTTTTTTATTTCTAATCCTTCTAGGGATTGTGTGTAAAATAGAATGAGTCTTAATTATTGACGAAACTCTTTCTATAAGAATTTGAGTGGCTTCGTTAACCGTTTTAGATGTTAAAATATCATTAAAATCAGATTTTTTTATATCAGCTATAATTAAAGTTTTGTTAAGATTTATTCTATTAGTATTGTTGTTTAATGACTTAGGTTTATATTTCAAATTTAATACTATGGGGTTATGATCAGTTATGTAAGAGTCTACTATCATGATAGTGGCGATTTGACTCGTTCTGAGTAATACATGGTCAAGACAGGTGTTTGAATGTGTGGGCAGATTGTGGGATGGAAATAAGCCGAGATTGGCACACAAGTTCAAATATTCATTACAGTTATTACAAGATTTAAGTGTATCTATATTAATATCACCAATAACTGCAATATTTTTACATACCGACAGGCCGGAGATAACCATCTGGTTATCTCCGGCCTGTCGGCCAATGGTTGTAGGATATATAGTACAGTATACTATGGTGTATATATTATAGAATAACAAACTGTTATCGTTTTTTGAAGAGGTATAGTTTTTATTCAAATTATTTTTTTCCTAGATTTATTCAACGGCAACTTGTATTCATGCCAAAATTCGGGATCATTTCGTTGTTTATCAGGGTGGCTGCTTGCCTTTCTGTCTGTCACAAACGCTGTTCTTAGAGATTTTGATATTTTTTATATAATAGTACGTTCACTTCCTAATTTTTTGAAGAGTAAATATATAAGTAAAAATTTATTAATAACGTGCCTATAGTGCTATCGCCATATAGAATCCGTTAGGAAACATAATATGAACCATCGTCAGTATCATTACAACCTTTCACAAGTCCACTGCTGAACAAAGGCCTCCCCTAAAGAACGTCACAAAGCACGGTCCTGCCACCTGCATTCATCGTCTTCCTGTATGTCTTATGAGGACGTCACTTCATCTAGTGGGAGGGGGGGGTCACCCTACACTTCATCTGCCGGTATGAGGCTGCCACTGGAGATCCTTTTTTCCAATCGATTGTCGATTCCTCGAGCTATATGGGCGGCCCATTGCCAGTTCAGCTTACTAATAAGTTGGGTTTATGTCGGTTACTCTGGTTCTACTGCGGATATCCTCATTTCTAAGCTTATCACAAGGAGAAACCCTCATCGATTCTATAAGTATATTATGTGGATATCTACCTTCATTGGCTAAGTCTTTGAGAAGTTACACAATCACTAACATACGCAATGAAGATTAATGAATATATATATAATAGAGTATAATAGAGTAATACTAAAGCGGTAATCTATGAATTCATTTAAATATTGTCAAACGGCAGGAAAGTAACATTACGTATTTTATCGCATGAAAATATCTTTCTACTTCATTTGCCCTTTAAAGTCCATAGCTGGGGCTCTTCCTCTGTACGTAGAGTAAGGTAATGTCACCAGTAATGGACTACACCCCAGTAATGGACACACGCTTGGAAAAATGAAAGAAATAAGAATAATTGAACATATTTTCCAAATGGCAACATTGAACTATAAACTAATTATGTCAAGCTGTCAACTGTCGCGATTTCGGTTTATTCTGTCATTTCGTTGCAAAATTGTCGCAGTTTAAATAGCACTGTGCGGAGTAATTTCCCGATTTGATTATTTCTAACGGAATTCATTAGTGAGGTGAGTAGATATTTTGAGATATTTCTGGAAAATCTTTAGAATAATTCGTTATTATATTGAATATTTTATTTCATAGGAATATTGTAGGTACGAAATTAACCTAAAACTATTTAAAGGTTTTTGCATATTTTGTTAAATGTGAATGTTCATAACTGGATATCGATTTTCAACTGGAACTAGTTATGGACAAAATGTCCATGATTGAGTAAACATGTTTTCATAGCAATTGCCTTCGTTTTACGTTTGTTGTACCATCTTTTGGGTATATTCTATTTATGGTACTATAACATGGATGCAATCCAGTCATGGACATGGATGTCCAACATTGGCTGTTTATTAATGGATTTCAAATAAAATTCTAATTTTGTGGTTTTCGTTACTAGCCATGGCGCCTAAAAGAAAATATATGCCAGAACAAATGCGTCGTGCCATAGAGGCGGTCAAGAGAGGAGAAGCAGTGAGTGCAGCAGCATCTAAATATGGTGTACCTCGTATCACGCTTAGAAATAAGGTAACGGGGATAAGCCCTGCGGTTTGTTCAATGGGCCCAGCTACAATTCTTACGGTTCAAGAAGAGCAAATATTAGTACAATGGCTTTTTGCACTAGCCGATCGACATTTTCCTATATCACGAGAACAGTTACTGGACAGTGTCCAACAAATAATAATTAAGGATAACAGGAAAACACCTTTTACTAACAATCGCCCTGGAAAGACGTGGTACCAAGCATTTCTTAAAAGACATCCTGAGATTTCGGAACGAACTGCACAAAATCTAATAACATCACGTGATAATGTCACTGAAAAACAAATCAAATCATGGTTTACTGAGATCAAAAATTACCTTCAGGAGCAAAACCTTGAGCATTTGCTGAAACAACCTAGCAGGATATTTAATGCAGACGAAAGTGCATTCTTTTTATCACCAAAATCTGGTCGTGTCTTAGTAAGACGGGGTGATAAGAATGTGTATACCGCATCTGGTAATGAGAAAGAAAACTTGACTGTTTTACCAACTGCAAATGCTGCTGGTCAAATAGCACCTCCTATGATAGTGTTTGCTTATGAGCGTGTGCCAAAACCTATATTTGATAGCGTACCTGATACTTGGGGGATTGGGAGATCAGAATCAGGGTGGATGTGTAGCGAGACTTTTTATGAGTATTTCACAAATATATTCCACCCATGGTTGATCGAGAAAAAAATCGAGTTACCAGTCTTATTCTTTTTGGATGGCCACGGATCACATTTGACGACACATCTTTCAGACTTCTGTGCAAAAAATGGAATAGAATTAATTGCTTTGTATCCAAATAGTACGCATATATTGCAGCCAATGGATATTGCTGTCTTCCGACCATTAAAAGTATTTTGGAAGAGGCAGATCACTAAATGGAAGACTGAACATCCGGGTCAACAGGTTTCAAAAACTTCTTTTGCACCTATACTGAAAAGCGCTTTAGATGAAATTACTAAAGATTGTATTAGTAATGGTTTTCGAGCTGGCGGCATATGTCCATTTGGACCGGAATATATTGATTTTAGTAAGCTCAACTCAAAAAATCGATCAACAGAAATCACGGAAGCTCAAACTGCTTCGTCGCAAAATGTGGAGTTTCTACGGATGTTGGAGGCTGAAATCGTGAAACTATTTTCTGACCAAAAATTAAATACGTTCAAGAAATATTTCTTTCTGCGGAGAACCGATTTAGAAAATGAATTACCTGCTGAGGACGTAGGATTCTATATTTTATGGGCTAAGTATAAACACTTATGCCATATTGAGCTTCCACCACAGTCCAGATCAGAAGAAATAGATCTACAATTCGCAGAAGCAACAGCCACTGAAACCACGTATTATGCTAACAATCCTGAATCGGAAGTTCTTGTAAATGAGTTTTCGTCATGCTCTGGGGCAGTTGAAGTGCTCCCTGTTGAAATACCGATAGCTGACAATTCTCCTCCCACAATGTGTGCTGTTGAATCACACAGTGCCCAACACACTACGATCGACATTGACTCGGAATTGCCTATAAATAGTGGCGAATTAATTGAGCTTCCACCACAGACCCGATCAGAACAAATAGATCAACAATTCGTAGAAAAGAGAGATACTCGGACTACCTTTTCTGCTACTAACCCTGAATCTAAAATTCTGTTAAATGAGTTGCTACCATTCTCTGGAGTACTTGAAGAGCTTTCTGTGAAAATGCTGATCGATGACAGTTCTCCTACCACAATGTTTACTGTTAATTTACAAAGTGCTACACACTCTACGACAGACGTCGACTCGGAATTGCATATAAATAGTGACCAATTCAATAACACAATACCAGCTACATCTAACGCAGAGTCAGAGAAAGATTATGATATTATTATGGAATCAGAACAACCTGAGTTGACCAGAAATGTTGATTCGAATAAAGACTCTATACCAGGTCGATATAATAGTGATTTATTAGATGTTGGGCCTCCTTATCCTCACCCTAAACCTATCACTCAGTGTACCGAACCAGAAATTTTGGTACACTGACACCCACACTGGTACATTGGCAACATTTTACACCCACGAAAAATACATTAAGCGATGTATTGGGTGTTGTGTAGTACCGTCCCCTTTAAAAAAAAGTCTTTTTTGGCCCGTAATTGAGGACAAGAAGAAAAACAAGAATAAGAAAGAAAAGTTACCATCGGCGATTACAAGTAAGGCGTGGAAGGTGTATCATGAAAAGAAAGAAGCAGAAAGACGTAGACTACAAGATGAAAAAGAAAACAGAGCCAAGGTGAGAGCAGAAAAAAAGTTTTAAAAGAAAAAATCTTTGAAGTAAATAAAAATAAGAATAGGTTAAAAGGAAAAGTGAAAAAGATACAGAAATCTTCATCGTCAGACGACACCGACTTAGAAATTGATTATGCTGAAAGTGGTGACAGCGAATGGAATGAAGATAGTGATCCAATTGTAGAGAATACGGAAAGCGAAAATAAAATGGTGACTGAAAAACGAAGACTGAAACTTGCTTTTCATAAAAGGCCACAAAAAAAAGAGTCAAAGACGTCTTTCGCACCCTGGATCGGATCTTGAAAATATGCCTTTAAGTTCACTGGCATCTTCTAGGAGTAAAGTTTCTATAAAAGATTTAAAAATAGGTTGTTATGTAATAGTTACATATGAAGGTGAATATTTCCCGGGTAAAATTGAACGCAAAGATAGAGGGATGTACGAAATTAGTACAATGGTACTAATTTATATAACTGGGAACACTTTCAGATGGCCAGACAGAGCAGATAAAATCTGGTATAAATTGAGTGACATTATTGAAATAATTAGACCCCCTATAAAAGAAAATAATAGAGGATTCTTTAAAGTTGCAGATATGAATAAATTTTTACCTGATGACGTGAATGACGACATGACGTAGATTTGAGATACATACCAGAGACAAAGATTTAATGATTATTAGGAGGTGCGTCTACTATTCATTAAATACTTATGTCGGTTATTATGTGTAATTTAACTAACTTAAGTAAGCTATGTTGTATAGGTAATTTTATTGTTTTCGTCTTTTAAAGTTTTATATCTATGACTACTAAAATTATTGTTGTTGTTTGTTTAAACCACCACTGACTGATTTCTATGGTATGAAGATATATTGTAAGAGCACTTACTAATGTTAAGTAGTACTAATTTGTGAATTTCATTTCTGCTAGTACCAATTTTGTTCCTCAAAGTTTAATACTTACTAGTCTTATCATTTGTATTGAATATTCCAAAGTAAGTAAGGCAAACATTGTCTAGTGATTTAAAGAAACAGCTTACCTTTATTATTATTATTATTTGTTGTCTCTATGTGTTCATTACTAGACGTTCATTACTGGAGATTGTCCATTAATGGGTATCCATAATTAAATTTTGCCTGTCCATCACTAGTGATTAGGAGTGACTTTGATTTAACTTTTTTTTAAACATATATAACCTGATATTATATTTTTCTTTATTAAAAACAATTTCCAAGAAACCATCCTTTTATTTTTTCATATCAAAATATTTAATTTCATTAAAAGTGGTTGGCAGTGTTATATTATCCGCAAACATTTTCTAAAACTGTCCATAATTGGTTCCATTACCTTACTTGTCATTTAGAACACCGATATGGCTTATGAAATAAAGACCTGCAAGAAAAGAGCATCCTCCTTTTTAAAAGACCGGCGACACCCCTGCAAATTCACAGGTGTTGCAGCATCAGTCCATGGACGGCGATCGACCATACCGTACCATCAGGTGTACCGCATACTCGTTTGGTCCCACTTCTAATAAAACAATGGCGTGACAGATCTACATGCTTTACTTTATCTTAGAGTAAATGAATCCAAATGTTGTGTAATTGTTGTCAAGCGTGCTTACTGCACAACTTAGTTGTATTACTTCGATCAACAATGGTGATCGAAGTTGTATTAGATAGTTTTTAGTTGTCTTATATATGAAATTAAGTGATTTATTTAGACAATAAATTTTAATAAGCTCAAATCTATTTATTAATTTTATAAGCTAAAAATTACTTCCAAGAAAAACTAACTAATTAAAAACTATTATCACAAAAATATGTATAATCGTTATATTAATAATTAATATAAACAAATGTTTACGTTTACCTCGTTTGTTCTTCGGTCGACCAAGGCGTTTATTGAACTAAAATAGCTTGAAAATGTATCACAAATTCAAAAATACAACGTGCAGTACCGTTTTGTGTACATGTAGTTGATCAAATTGAATTATTAAAAACAACACGATTTTTCAAAGTTCCTACACACAGCTATTTCAAAGATTAACAAACAGCATTAAAACAAATGAATTTTTTTTGACCCTTGAAAGGTAAAGCAGTACACGCGAATGACATAGATACAGAGTTGAATGATTGAAAAACAGTGATAAAATGGCTATACCTAGTTCATGTTATTTCACGCTGGTATTCTTTAAAAGCGTGGTGTCCCCTGGGTCAAGCCGACCCATTCGTGCTATATAGCTACTTATATAGCTACTTTATGTATATAATAATCTTTACTGTACCATATAATTCTACCACTCAAAAGCAGACCACTAGCTTTGAAATGGCATTAATTTTAATATGTAATTGAAAGTTTTATGCTAAATATGCAATTTCAATCTAAGAGATCTAATACTTACCACATATACTATTTAGAGTGCACTCAGAAATTACTGGTATTAGATCTATTTCAGTGTTCAAAGTCTTGTCAAGTGTTTTTACTAATCGGTTTGTATTTTCCTGTAGCAATCTATTACGTCAATACGTAATATCTACGTAATATATTAAAATGGAAAGCTGGCGTTAGAATCTTCCGACGATCCTGCCATTTTTCTCCTGTAATTACAGAATACAAATGAGTTTATAGATATGTTTTTAAGTAATTGTACTTGTGTAAACATATTATTTTTTGTGTTCTTATTTCACTTAATTAGAGATCAATCATAATATAAGTAAACTATGAGTAAGTATTTTGTAGACATCTCATACCATAGCTCAATAACAATCCGTCTTGCAACCATGGTTTCAAAAAAGAATAAACCTGACTCTTTTGATGATATTTCATATCAGAAAGGATTACCTGAAAATTTTAATAGTTACCTATAATTTGATAAAGATGTGACACAAGGGACAATGTATACAAAACTGCACTTACTTCAATATCTTCAGGATTATAAATATTAATCGCTCCGAGGGGGAAGCTCCAGAATCTGTATATGCCATTATTTTCCTTTGCTATTTTTCTTACTACTTCAAAAAGTTTAACTGAAAGTGAAAAGTCAAAATTGTAGTTTAATTGTACCTATCTGTGGACCGCTATGCTCCAGTGCGTGTTGACGGGTTTCTTGTCTTCAAAAACATTTTATTCCTCAGATATGTAGGTTTCTACAATGTTTTCTTTTACCGCCAAGTACCTGGTACATTAGCGCTTAAAATTACAAGGCGTGTGAACCCGATATTTTCGGGTACTGAGAAATTACGGCGAACGCTTAGCCCCTAAACTACCATGATTATATGTTTGTGTATTTTTTATGATATTGATATTTACCTAAATTATTTAAATATTACTTATATGTAGTGTAATACAACCTAAAGCTTAAATATTACTTTGCTATTTCCAAATACGTTAAAATTTCAAAGCATTTAAACCGTACCTGGTGGGTGAACGATTTCTAGCGCGTTTCCAATAATAAAGAAATTTTTAAATCCTGGAATTTTTCGAAGCAATACAGCCTTCTCGTTATAATTAAATAAGTAGTCAACTCCAACTAAAAACACCACCACTGCAATTAGTAATAAATAGATCATTGTAACTAGTCGACGTTTCTATAGCACGGCTCAAACTCGACTGATAATAATGAGCTCGATATAAATAATTAAGTAATGAAATGAATATCTTTTTTCTGAAACCTTTAACCTCATATCTATATTATTACTTTCGTTTTGTGTTTACCTTGACTTCCCATAACTCAGAAATGATAAGACTAACACTCTTCTAATCTTATTATCCAATAAGGACCCCTTGAATATCTAGAATCTCAAATTTCATAAATAATCACATTATAGGAGTACTAGTGCAATAAATTTCTAATACTATTCTAAAAACCAACCAAACTCTAAGTATATTGATAACTCTAAGTATACGTAAGATTAATTTAAAAAAAGTAAACTCTTTTTTCAAAGATTATTGATACCCAGAAGTCTGTTAGATACGACGGTCGGGTACATGAATAACACGGGATTGCCGGTCCCGCCGGTTTAGGGGTTCAGAAACGGGCGCCAAGCTAATTGCCAAGCTCTATAGCAGCTCCAAAAATGTAAGTTTTGGAGCTGCTCTATAGCAGATACCTCTTTAGTTCAGATCAAATTTAAGCTTTCATTGGAATTTTTTCCATTAAACTAGTTTTTATCTATTTTACTTTATCTTTATGTTTACAACAAGTTAGGAGATTATCAACGAATATTAGTATATATATATATATATATATTGGATCTTTTTTTTGCACCGTTTACACATAAGCAGTAATCATAATTACTTCTAAAAAAATCTATTTTTAATAAATTTGTTGAAACAATCATACCATACTCTAGGGCTCTCTCTGAGACCATAGAGTGCTTTTTATAATTTGTAAACTTTATTATCTCCAGTTTCATAACCTTTCGGTTGTTGTTTAAGTACTTCTGACTTTACGTGACCATTTAAAAACGCTATCTTAACGTACATTTGTTCTATAAATAAATTATTTTTACAACTATATGACAACAAAATTTTCAATGTATGCATTTTTGCTAAGGGTGAATAAATATTTTCAAGATGCTGGAATCCTCGTACAACTAATCTTACTTTATTAACATTATTACTTTTCCGTTTCAAAACCCATTTGACATCAATAACCTTTTTATCTTTTATCCGTTCAACAATTTAACATGTGTTGTTTTTATTTAAAATATTCAGTATCCGTTTTAAATAATTCATCTTTTATATTTTAAATTTTATTTACCAAGTCTCTATCCTTTTCAATTTTTCCAAACCAATTAATTGAGTATTTTCTTCGACTAGCAAGTACATGCCTAGCATTAATTATTCTATTGTTTGATAAAACTCTATAGCCATTTTCATTATAACCTAGTAGCACCCCTAGTTGGGCTTTATCGTCCCATTTACTTCTTACATACACTTCTAAAACCCTCACAAAAACTCTACTCCATAAATCTATAAATGGTCCACATTTGGTTTAATACCGAAAAAAAAATTCATAACAAGTTTTATTCTCTGCTGTATTAGCAATTGTTCGATTTTTTAAATAAGCGGCTGTTTTTATAACATCGGGCCAATACTTTCTTTGAATTGTAGCTTCTCTCATTAAGCATCTGCCTATGTCCATAACAGACCTATTATACCTTTCCGCTACTCCAATTAATTCATGTACATGGGTGAACATGGTAATAACTAAAATTATAAATATCGCGATTTAAATATTCTTTGCCATTACCGCACTGTAATTTCTTTACTCTTCTATTAAATTTATTTTCTACAAAATTAACGAATTCTATAAAACAGTTTGCAGTTTCAGCTTTACTTTTAACACAAAAAATTCTCGTACATTTGATATAGTCGTCCATAAATCTATCTCTATGTATATGATATAGATTGAAAGTACGGAAATGAAGTGTTCAAATTGTATTGAAAGCAAAATGGCTAATTTACCTTTTGAAATTAATAGAAGTAAGACTATGAAATCTTTCTCCACCATAACCAGTTGTGCTATGGTCCACATAATGTGTGTAATAAATAATAAGATGTCATTTCCGTACATTCAATCTTATCTGGCAAACCTTCTACTAATTTATTATTTATCAACTTGTTTAAATATTGAAAATTTACATGAACAATTTTATTGAATTTACATACATTTTATCATTATCAGTTTTCGAAACAAAACTTTTCATACAATACAAATTATCTATAGTGTTAGCATCAATTATTAATTATCTTGATTGATTATAATTTTTTTTGAAACGCTTACCAAATTTTGCTTTATACTTTTTACAAAATAGTTTATAGTTTTTAGATCAATGTATTTTTCATTATAATAATTTTTGAAATAGATTTTAACAGTACCTACTTTGGTTACTTTTAACATTTTACCTTCTGGCAGTTTCACATTAATGGGAATTTTTAAATCTACATAATTATAGAAACATGTATCATTCTTTATAATATGATCTGTACACCCACTATCTAACAACTAATGAATTTCACTATTATCATCATATTCCACTTCCTTACATCCCGTTACTTGATTTATTTCTGAACTGAAATATACCTGAGTAGTCCATGACTCTGCCGCAGAGCCATCTTGTTGAGTGCTGAATGACTCACCTCTGAGCTGACCTTGACCTTTGCCTTGGCCATGACCTCGATGAACTCCACCTCTGTTGTAACCTCTTTGTGGTCCTTGCTGGCGTTGACTGGTTGGATATCGTCCTTGGTAGTTTTTCAGACCGTGTAAACAGTCCTTTTTGAGATGGCCGGTCCTTCAATAAATAAAACATTGTGCTTTTGTTTTTGTTGAGAACATACTTATATTGCTTTTCTTGTCTGGTTCACTACTAGTCATATTTTTCTCTTTTATTTTAGACTTTACATAATCTACTTTTCTTTGTTCTTCTGGAATTACGTCAATAAAATCTTCAATATAACTGTAACTTGAAGGTAAAGCTCTGACCAAGTATCTCATCTTCTCAGTTTCGTCTATATTTCCACCAGCCGCTTTGAAATCATTCGTTGTTTTCTCGACATCAACAAAAAATATTTTACTGTGTGTTTTAATTGTTTAATTCTCTTCAATTTTTCCTCCACATTTCCTCTACATTATTTGCAAAGCAGTAGACTGTGTTAAATACTTCTTGTCAAACTTTTTCACAATAAAAAGCTATTGTACATCCACTAATATGTTCTAATTGTTTATCGGAAATTGTGCTCATTATTATAGGCCTTGCTTATACATCCATTTTCTTCCAAACCGCCTCTTTATAAAGCTAAATAATATATTTAAACTCTAAACAGCTGTTCTCTAATATTTTCATAAATGTCCACCCCTGTTGTAGAGACGCCTAAATCGCCACGGTTGACAGACGGATTGGCGATCACAGTACCAGACGACTGGCACTTTGAACGATTTGATTTTAATATTTCCGTTTATGTCACCCACGGGACGAAATGAGGTAATGGAGATGAGTGATGTAAAACCAAATCATCAACATGTGAAACATATCAATCTATCCCTCCATCAATCTATTACAGCTTATAAGAGTCTACTGCTAAACTTCAGCCCCCTCCAATGACTATTTCATAGGAAAGATTTTGCCATAGCAGCCACGTTTGGCAGGTGGGTCGCAACTGCAGTTTTTTATTATTTTGTGTTGTTATCAGGAAGATGATACTGAAACAGGAGGTGGGCTCCTGTTTCAGTTTATCTCTGTCGCCTCTTACAATACCCACAAGATAATGTAAGTGTAATGGATATTCTTAGTTCTTACACCGCCACTACATAACTGAAAGAAAAAATACCATTTAGGCCAATATCAATCACAGCGTAACAGTAATTATTTAATACAATAAGTTTCTACTAAATTGGCACTTATTTTTCTTATTTATTTATTATTTAATGTATTTGTTACGGATCGCCGTAACGCCGTTCGAAAAATGAATAAAACGCTTTGGTCTTGCTTAAATAGGAGGCAAGCGGCGGTGAGGAGGAACTTGTACTTATTCTTCTTGTTGTTGCCTTTTCGGTGGCTGGAGAGCGACTGCCGACCCAACTTTTTTTTTTTGCGCCCGAAGCAAGTAAAGGGCTACCCTATACGTAGGGAGGCGGAAAATGCATTACGCATACCACGATAGCCGGTCTATCGTGGTTATGAGGGGCTCACTGTCCTACCGGGGACCCTAAGTGATACCCTCTAAAAACCGCCTTTGGGGACAGGCAGCCGGCTGATTAAGCTGTATTGTGCCTTATCGTGAGCGACCCTCTTTTGGGAAAAGAGGGCGCAGGCGGCTAAGAGCCGCTGAGGGAGTGCCTACGAAGGCAAATTAATGTTAGTTAATACAATAACTTAATTTAATTAGAGTTGGCCTGAGCCGCCAAGAGACAGTTCAGGTCGTTTGACAGTTTATTAGGCGGGTTCGAGAGAGAGTTTCTCGGCCTGCAGACACGATAGCGAGAGGGGGGTGGGGCTGCATAAGAAGCTGCCTCACGAATTAATTGGTTTGGGTGCGACTCTGAGGCTTTGAAGAAGTTCTCAGTTCTCAGTTCTCTCAGAGTTTTTTAAGAAATTGTTGAATTGTTGGGAGCTCTAAGTCCCGATGAAGGTCGGCATTACGGACGTACCAAGGTGCGTTCGCAGCTCGACGACAGAAAAGGTTTTGAAATATTTGGAGTTCATTAATGATTTTAGGGTTGGCGTGGGCAAAAACGGGGCCCGCGTATGACATGACTGGTCGTATACAGACCTTATAAAGGGTACGCTTGTTTCTAAGGGACATTTTACTGTGTCGGCCCAACATACTGTTGAGCCTACTCAGATAGAACCGTGCGTGACGGGTTCCTCTTTTGACGTGGGGCCTGAAAGTGAGCCCTGTGTCTAGAGTGACACTTAAATATTTGGCGGACGTATGCCAGGGGACAGGGGTCCCTAGCATACGTATTGGTGGAGTGTTTTTGAGACGGCGTCGTTTATAATCGAAGTGAACGGCAGAGCTCTTCTCCGGGTTCACATCGATGCGCCACTTTTTGAACCAAGCTCCTAGGTCATCAACTGACTTTTGGATCTTGTTCCGTATGAAGGGTAGCGAGACACCTTTGCAGTAGATGGCAGTGTCGTCTGCGAAGAGGGAGAGTTGAACACCTTTCGACGGGATGGGAATGTCGTTGGTGAACAGGATGTACAGCAGAGGAGCAAGTACTGAGCCCTAAGGGACACCAGCCTTGATAGTTCGCTGTGAAGATAGCGTGCCTTCGTGTCTAAAACGAAAGGTACGATGTTTTAAATAGGAGGCCACGAGACGAACTAGACGATCGGGGAGACCTATTTTGTAGAGCTTGTAGATGAGGCCTCTGTGCCAGACTCTATCGAAAGCTTTAGCTATATCGAAAAAGACCGCGATGGACTTATGACGACGAGGATAGAAACCGCTGAGGATATATTCCACAATGCCGTGAACTTGTTGGGGACATGAGTGTTTGGCTCGGAAACCGAATTGATGGGGAATGATAAGAGGGTCGCCGTCTGTGGGAAACAGATAGCGCCTCATACGCGTTTGGATGACTCTTTCGAAGAGCTTGCCCATTGCCTTGAGGAGGCTAATGGGGCGATGACTGGAGGGGGAGGTTGAGAGGCTTGCCTGGCTTGGGAATTCCAATCACAGTTGCCTCTTTCCACGTAGTGGGAAAATAACTAAGGTTGAAGCAGGCGTTGAAGATAATAGATAAAAAAGGTTAACACCTGCTCAGGAAAGTGTTTTAGGGCTTGGTTGGAGATGCCATCCGCGCCCGGAGCCTTTTTAGGCTTAAGTCCTTTGATGAAGGATGAAATCTCATCATTGGACACAGAGATAGGTTCGGAGGCCGTAGGGGGTGAGTTCCGGCGGCGGACCTCATCCTCCACTGCCTGGACGTGTAAGGGGTCGACGGGTTGAGAGCTAGGAGAGCATTGAGCGGCAATGCTATCTGCAAAGCACTCAGCCTTTTCCTCGTCCTTGAAGGCAACCATGCCGTCGGGGCGGGAGAGAGGGGGAGTGTGGGTGATAGCGTCTATGCGGAGGGCTCTGGCCATCTGATAGTACGCTGTATGAGATGGAGAGATATTCTCCATGAGTTTAATCTTTTCGAGGTCTCGAAATTCAGAGAGGCGGAAACGGAGTTCTCGTTGAAGACGATTGGCCGCGCGCCTATATTCGGGGGTGGGATATTTTGCTGCTCTCCGGAAAGCAGCTTTTTTTGGCTTTTAATAGGTTGCTAATATGTAGAGGAAGCCCACTATTGTTAGCAACCGGGACGACCCCCTTCGTTCTCCTTAAGGGAGTATTTAATAAGGGTTGAGAGTGAATCGACCGCGGTGTCGATTTTATCGGGACTGTCTAAGTTCGACGGTAGGGGGGTGGTAGAGTCCTGTGAGTCCAGAGCTTTAGCTAGGAACTCCTTGAATCCCTTCCAGTTAGTGAAGGTTTTCGTGTGGGTTGGGGGAGGTGGCTGATGGCCAAGAATGAGTGAGACCGGTCGGTGATCGGATCCTAGATCGTCTAGTGTCTCGATAGCTCTGAGGTTAAGATAAACTCCTTGGAGTAACGCAAAATCTAGTACATCGGGGGGCGTGCTCGGTGTTATCGGGAAAGTGAGTAACACCGACGGGACTATGGACGGTAATATCAAGAGACTGCGTGATATCAAGCAGTATCTTGCCACTATGGGACGTGGTACGGCATGTCCATTCAGTATGCTTTGAGTTAAAATCTCCAAACATAATGACTGAATTGCCTAAAGATAAAATGGCCTCAAAATCTTTTTTGAGGGGATGGGTTCCTGAAGGGATGTAACAGGAGGCTATGAGGATGGACTGATGTCCAGTCATAGCTAGCCTGCATACCGTGGCTTCCATGTTGGTAAGCTGCGGAGTGGAAATGGGCGAGCAATGGAGTGTCTTCTTGTAATAGATGGCCGTTCCGCCGCCTCGGCGGTCGGGTCTGTCGTTACGAAGAAGAGAGAAGTTTTTAATAGAAAGGCCTCTAGTGTCCTTAGTTTTGAGATTGGTTTCCTGTAGGAGGAGGAAATCGACTTCACGATTCCGAAGAAAGAGCTTGAGCTCTGGGAGGTTATTTCGCAAGCCGCGAATATAAATAAATAAATAATATAAATAATAAATCATTTTATTTTTCTCTTCACAAAGGTATATAATTAGACATTATTTCTTAAATAATACGATAGTAGATAATTTTGACCTTTGTGAGAGACTGGTGTCCATACTAGGGTAATCCCTGTGTTATAGATCACCAGGCCCTCACCCTGACGGATAGCACGTATTACATTTTCAAAAATACTACAAGAGAAATACAAAATAGAAAATATTTCAACAAGGAAAGATTCTATATGTTTTTTTTTAAGTTATTTCTATATGTATAGTAGTGTTAATGTATGCGTGTGTGTGTATGTGTGCGTGTGTGTGTGTGTGTGTGTGTGTGTGTGAGTGTATGTGTGCACTCATTTGTGTAGGGTTATGTGTTTTTAGGATAATACTCTCAGTAAATTTTCAGCAGCCATATAATCGATATTTAGCAACCATTTCCGTAATTTTTGTTTACATGCATGTTTTGGTAGAGAGTAAATTGACAAAAGTTTATTTAATTTATTATAAAGGTAACCTCCCAGGAAGCAAAAATGATGATGGGAAAATTTTGTCTTTAGAAGCTTACTGGGACAAACTACATATTTCCTTCTTTTGTCAATATTATAGGAGGACTCATACTGTATAAGAGAATGTTGTAGCAGTGTAGTGTGCAATATAAACAGTTTACGAACAGATAAGACATTACAATGTTGATAAAGGTCAGTTGTAGGACAACGGAATGGAAGAGAATTGCTAACTTTTAATAGTGCCCTCTGAGCCCTTTCTAATTGCAATATGGTCGTTTTAGGTGCTCCTCCCCAGATGGTAATGCAATATGTCAACAATGATTGGCACA